TGTGATTGACTGCCTGTCTTTAACAATCAAGCAGGTGGCAGCCTATATAGTTTTGAACAGACTGCATTTGGACTCTTGTGGACTTTCCCCAAATGAAGTACGGAATAAAAGCTACAGAACTTAAGGTTAAAATAAAGCTGTATGGTAAAAATAATAATATCATAGACATATTGTTTTGAGAAATACACTTCTAGACACTGCTAGAATAGCTGCAATCTTTATCTAAAAAACTGAACAAAATATAAACTGGAGATGATTTTTTAATGCATACAAACAACATTTCAAGTCAACATTTTCAAGTTCAGTCTGTAACTGTCCTATATGGAGTATTATAAACTGTACATTGCACTTAGTCAGACACCTTGACCTGCACTGTGATAAGATTATGATAAGAGTTTTGGTTATGTTAGAACTGAGCTCAAAGTTTTCTAATCGAAAAGTGAAAGTTTTAAAAGGTTTATTATATTTTAAAAGTTTATTATTGTTGTTGTGAAGCAGGGGCCCCCACCCACACTGTCAAACAACCCTTCCTAAACCTGATATGAAAATGCTATATTAACTTGGCAACATTGTGTAATAACTCTGATTAATACAACAACAAAAAATGTGGTTCATTTTTGTTACTAATACAGGGGTTAAATTGGGATTTGTTATGTGGGTGGGCTCTGTGGTTTCAGGCTCTCAAGGGGTGCACGTATGCATGCAAAGCCTACAAAATATCTAATGACAAACTGTAAAATATAACAAGTTAAGAAAGCCCTCTGCTATGAACACTACAATGCTGATCAAGATCATTCTAGATGCTGGCAGTGTGCAAAGCTACATCTGATGACAATAAAATCAGTGCTTTAAGTTTTCAGGTAGGTCTAACGGTAATATTCAGGTACAGAAATACTACAGAATTTGAATTAAGTAATCAAATGTAAAATTACACTGGATAGTCTTCACTGTATAAACAAATAACATTAAAAACACAGACAGCAATCAATTTAATAGACTGCTGTCTCAAGACCGACTGCACAGATCTACTGTTACACATGCGTTTTCTTTCTCAGTTGTTTACGTTCACTGAAGATATAACTGATTGTGTTTATGAGAATACTCGCCAAGACAGGCATTTTGACATCATTTTGTGTGTATCAGAACATTTACACCAATTCGGTACTCGCACTCTGTCTGAGAAGCTGCTTTATGTGTGCGCATTTTGGGTGCATGCTTACAGTAAACCAGTTTGACCGTAAACCGTACTGAACTGAGAACTCTTTTGCTGCTTATTGCACTTGAATGGTTTAAAAATAGTGGTCGACCGATATGGGTTTTTTGACAGCCGATACCGATGCCGATATCTTGGAAAGCAGGGTGGCCGATGGCCGATATAAAGCCGATATAATTTTATTTATTTTAATTCATATTTAAGAAATTTGAAATAATTTGAAAATGGATTTAAAAATAAACGTGTAAAATAAACATAATTATACTCTAGAAGACAAAGTATTTTTCACAAATAAATAAATATTTAATAAAAATATAATTCACGGACCATAGGACCGACCGTCACAGAACACGCGATCATGCAGGTCACATGCACACTTCACAAGATCTCAACTAGATTCGACTAAGTCTGCAAGGTTTGTGAAATTAAATGTTCATTAGTCATTCAAAGATTTGTTTAAATTATATAAATGCGTATTTGCGGAATGCTGACAGCAAACGATAAAGTATTATAATGTTTGCCTTTAATAATATTAAAGCGTTATAATACTTTTTTGTATACATTTTAATAACTTTGTTTAACAGTTTTATCTGATTATTAGACAGACTTGTATCCGTATTAGACAGAACTGAATGACAACAGCAAACAAGAGGGAGAATGTGAGCACTATGTGCTCAGGCGCTGCCGCAGCCGTTCTCGGCGGCGTCAAAATAAAAGTCCGATGCAGCGTCAAAATAAAAGAAAACTTGGCCTCGAACACATCGGTCAAACAGAAAAACTTATCGGCTGATGCCGATATTTGAAAAATATCTTGGCGATATATCGGTCGACCACTAGCTGTTTGTGCTATGGACACGACCGATATTGGTTTTTTGACAGCCGATGCCGATATCTAGGAAAGCAGGTTGGCCGATGGCCGATATAAAGCCGATATAATTTTATTTATTTTAATTCATATTTAAGAAATTTGAAATAATTTGAAAATGGATTTAAAAATAAACGTGTAAAATAAACATAATTATACTCTAGAAGACAAAGTATTTTTCACAAATAAATAAATATTTAATAAAAATATAATTAAAAAGGAAGTAAACACTGTAACCAACAGGGCACTCAGTATTCTGGGAAGTTTGTGTGCATTGGGAACCATTTTTTTCAAATAAAGCCAAGGTAACACTCATTTTACATACAGCACACAGTGAAAAAGACATGAATATGACAGTGAGCAAATGCATAAAGCACAGCATAATTTTAAATCATGAGTTTAAAGTTTAAAGCATTCAATTCACTCAGACCGACCGTCACGCGAACAGGCGATCATGCTGCATAAAAATGCACACTTCACAAGATCTCAAAGCTGGATTCGACTAAGTTTGCAAGGTTTGTGAAATTAAATGTTCATTAGTCATTCAAAGATTTGTTTAAATTATATAAATGCGTATTTGCGGAATGCTGACAGCAAACGATAAAGTATTATAATGTTTGCCTTTAATAATATTAAAGCGTTATAATACTTTTTTGTATACATTTTAATAACTTTGTTTAACAGTTTTATCTGATTATTAGACAGACTTGTATCCGTATTAGACAAAACTGAATGACAACAGCAAACAAGAGGGAGAATGTGAGCACTGTGCGCTCAGGCGCTGCCGCAGCCATTCTCAATAC